GAGCCCAATGTGGGGCTCAATCCCAGGACCCTGGGATCATGACCTGAGCTGAAGGCAGATGCTTAACGACTGAGCCACCCAGGCACCCCCAAAATTTCAATCTTAATATTGTTTTATAATCATGAACTGAGGGATTTCCACTCTCACCTCTTTTATTCAACATAGTACTGGAAATCCTAGCTGCAACAATCAGACAAAAAGAAATAAAAGGCATGCAAATCAGTAAGGAAGAAGCAAAATTTTCACTATTTACAGATAATATCACACTTTACATAGAAAACCTGAAAGACTCATACAAAAATCTGCTAGAACTGATTAACAAAGTCATTAAAGTTGCAGGATACAAAATCAATGTACAGAAATTTGTTGCATTTCTATACATTGATAATGAAGCAGCAGAAAGAGAAATTAAGGAATGAATCCCATTTACATTTACACTGAAAATAAGGTACCTAGGAATAAACCTGACCAAAGAGGTAAAAGATCTGTACTCTGAAATGTATAAAACACTGAAGAAAGAAATTGAAGAGGACACAAAGAAATGGAAAGACATCCCATCCTCATGGATTACAAGAACAAATATTGTTAAAGTGTCTACACTACACAAAGCAATCTACACAATTAATGCAATCCCTATCAAAATAACAGCATTTTTCACAGAACTAGAGCAAACAATTTTAAAATTTGTATGGAACCACAAAAGACCCTGAATTGCTAAAACAATCTTGAAACAGTAAAGCAAAGCAGGAGACATCACAATTCCAGACTTTGTAAGATCATAGAGCTGTAGTAATCCAAGCAATATGGTACTGGCACGAAAATAGACACACAGATCAATGGAACAGAATAGAGAACCCAGAAATAAGTCTGCAATTAGATAGTCAATTATTCTTCACAAAATCAGGAAGGAATATCCAATGAGAAAAAGACATTCTCTTCAACAAATGGTGTTGGGAAACTGGACAGCAACATGCAAAAGAGTGAAACTTACCACTTTCTTACACCATACACAAAAAATAAATTCAAAATGGATTAAAAACCTAAATGTGAGACCTGAAGCCTAAAAGCTCTAAAAGAGAACACAGGCAGTAACTTCTCTGACATTTGTCATAGCAAATTTTTCTAGATATGTCTCCTGAGGCAAGGGAAACAAAAGCAAAAATAAACTGGAACTTCATCAAAATAAAAAACTTCTGCACAGTGAAGGAAACAGTCAACAAAGGCAAAAGGCAACCTACAGAATGAGAGAAGATATTTGCAAATGACATATTGATAAAAGATTAGTATCAAAAATATATAAGGAACTTATAAAACTCAACACCCAAAAAACAAAGAATCCAATTAAAAATGAGCAGAAGACATGAATAGACATTTCTCCAAGGAAGACATAAAAATGGCCAACAGATGTTCTGCATGAAAAGATGCCCAACATCATTCATCATCAGGGAAATATGAATCAAAACCACAATGAGATACCATCTCACACCACTCAGAATGGCTAAAATCAACAACACAAAAAACAACAGGTTTTGGGGAGGATTTGGAGAAAGGCAAACCTTCCTGCACTGTTAGTGGGCATGCAAACTGGTATAGTCACAGTGGAAAACAGTATGGAGGTTCCTCAAAAAGTTAAAAATAGAACTATCCTATGATCCAGAAATCCCATTACTGGGTATTCACCTAAAGAATGCAAAAAACACTAATCCAAAGGAATACATGCAGCTCTATGTCTATAACATTATCAATAATAGCCAAATCATGGAAGCAGCCCAAGTGTCCATTGACTGATGAATGCATAAAGATGTGGTATATACATATTATTTCACTTATATGTGAAATTTCAGAAACAAAACAGTTGAACATGGCAGGGGAAAAAAATAGATTCAAACCAGGAAACAGACTTTTTTTTTAAAGATTTATTTTTATTTATTTTGAGAGAGGGAGAAAGAGAGAGAGAGAGAAAGTACATGAGAGGGGGGAGGGTCAGAAGGAGAAGCAGACTCCCCGCTGAGCAGGGAGCCCGATGCGGGACTCGATCCAGGGACTCCGGGATCATGACCTGAGCCGAAGGCAGTTGCGCAACCAACTGAGCCACCCAGGCGCCCAGGAAACAGACTTTTAACTATTAGAGCACAAACTGATGATTATGGGAGGGGAAGTGGGTGGGGGTATCATTGAATAGGTGATGGGGATTATGGAAGGCACTTGTTGTAATGAGCACGGGGTGTTCTGTGTAAGTGATGAATCACTACATTCTACATCTGAAACTATCACACTGTATGTTAACTAACCAGAATTTAAATAAACACTTGAGGGAAAAAAAATAAATGTCAGGTGTTACCTCCCTCCCCACCACCACCAAAAAAAGAAGATGTGGTATATAGGTGACGTATGGAATTGTTGAATCACTGTATTGTACACCCAAAGCTAATATTACACTGTATGTTAACTAACTTGAATTAAAATAAAAACTTTTTTAAAAATCCAAGATACTCTCCCCACCTTAAGATTTTTAATTACATCCTCAAAATCCCTTTTTGTCATATTAAAGAAAAAATAATTCAGATTTCAACCGGATGTCTTTATCCTGTCTACCACATATGTATCCCTTATTATTGAAGAAAACAGGAAAATACAGATTTGGAAGTATATGAATATTAAAGTGAATATATTAATGTAAACTGCTCATCCATCCCCCAACATTTCATAAAATAGCAAAGAAAATCCTCCTTTCCCTAAGTCCATGACATAATACACTGGAGAGCATCACTATGTTTTTTGTTTTTTGTTTTTTTCTGAAATACAAAATTAACCTTCTGTTTGTTTCTTTTTTAGTAAATCTGGTAACCCTATTATGGCTCATAAGACTTTAATGGACTGCAATGTCTTTTCTGCAATTGAAACCAGTAATTATGACTGAACTGCAACAATTGGTACCATGAATGATTGAAAGCAACAAAGTCCCCAAAGTATGAGAACCTGGTTTTAGTTATATCATCAGGTTTGGTTCAGAGGCAGAGAGGATCCCAACAGTATTGAAATATGGGAAACAAGTGGTCCACGGCACACATGGCTAAGAGTTTGCTAAAGCTAACCTGCAGCCTCCTGAATGGAAGAGGCCAGCCTAAATGGCTGTTCAATAGACCATTATGGAAAGAATGAAGAGTACAAAGACTGAGCTATCAGATCATTCTGATTGCTTCTGAAGCACATAAACAGAAATCAAGATACCATCATGACTTTAAATTTGCAATTCAAGAATCAAAAGACCAAGTAAATTGCTCTGAAAGAATATTCTTTGTACTTGAGCCCACTAATCAGAGTAAAGGGTAAAATATTTTTCTCCTATATCTCTTTCACAGTGAGTGGAGAAGATCCATAAGCACATCCTGCGAAGATCACCACAACATGATATTTTGACCAATGGGCAACATGATCACATCGATTCTCCTATTCTGCTCTGGTGACCTGGTCCAAATGGAATGTAAACAAACGAACCAACAGCAATGTGTCTTCCTTAAGGAAATCAGGAAATTATTGATTTGAATATTGAAAAGCTGCAAAGGTGGTGATTATTAAAAGTCTTTATTTAAATTGCACCTAGCTGGGGGAGGAGCTAAGATGGCAGAGTAGTAGAGGCCCCTGAGCTTGCCTTGTCCCTTGAACACAGCTAGATCAACATCAAACTATTTTTTTAAAAGATTTTATTTATTTATTTGACACAGAGAGGGAACACAAGCAGGGGGAGCAGCCGAGGGAGAAGCAGGCTCCCCGCTGAGCAGGGAGCCCAATGCGGGGCTCGATCCCAGGACCCGGGGACCATGACCTGAGCCGAAGGCAGAAGCTTAACGACTGAGCCACCCAGGCGCCCCATGGTGGCTGCTTTTATTTCTCTGTCACAAGAGAATCAATAGACACAATACTGTGCTTTTCTGGGACACGATGGTGCTGCGCATGCCTCAAGGCTCTGCTCTGGGGGAGAAGAGTGGGGCTGCACCTTGCCAGGCCCTTTACAATGGGGAGTTTGGAATCCCAGGCGCTCAACGGCCTGGGCACAGACAGGTTAAGACCAGGGATCTGAGAAAGCCCAAAGCATAGGCGACCTTTTGCTTTTCTGTGAGGGCCACCAGCAACAGCAACCATGCGTTCCCTTCTCCGGAGATGAGAGGTTGGGGTGATGCCATCTTCTTCCTTCACCACCACTCCCTCCCCCCCACAGCCCACGAGCACAGGTGGACTAAAGAGAGAAACACAGCATCTCCAGGGCAGGCTGGAATCCCCTACCCTGAACCCTGGACCCCCAGCTCCTGGCAGGAGCACTGTTACAAGGGCAAGTCAGCTTGTGAGCCAGCCCACTGGGCCTCTCCCTCAGAAGAGCAACACCAACCCCCACGCATATAACAAGTCTACCAATAAAAGAGTGCTCTAAAGCGTCAGCTTCACTTCTGGTGAAAATAGGATGAGGCTTTCTTTTTCGTTTTCTTATAATTTTTTATTTCTTTTTTTATTTTATTATGTTATGTTAATCACCATACATTACATCATTAGTTTTTGTCGTAGTGTTCCACGATTCATTGTTTGTGCATAACACCCAGTGATCCATTCAGTACGTGGCTTCTTTAATACCCATCACCAGGCTACCCCATCCCCCCACTCCCACCCCTCTAGAACCCTCAGTTTGTTTCCTGAGATTAAGAATTCCTCATATCAGTGAGATCATATGATACATGTCTTTCTCTGATTGACTTATTTTGCTCAGCATAATACCCTCCTGTTCCATCCACGTGGTTGCAAACAGATGAATGGATAAAGAAGATGTGATATATGGGGGCAGAGCAAGATGGCAGAGGAGTAGGAGACCTAAATTTCGTCTGGTCCCAAGAGTCAGCTGGATAGGGATCAAACCATTCTGAACACCTACAACTCAACAGGAGACAGAAGAAAAGAATAGCAACAACTCTTTGAACAGAAAAGCGACCACTTTCTGGAAGTTAGGGCGTGTGAAGTGAATCCAAGGCGATTTTCGGGAGGATAGACAGCGGGGGAGGGGGCCTCCATCAGCCGCTACTGGCAAGTAATAGAGCAGCGGAGCACAAAATCGGAACTTTTAGAAGT